CGCCATTTGTTTTTCATTTCATACAGCACAATAACAACTAATACTCCTTCACTGTCACAAATTTCGGATCAAATTACGGTAAAATATACCAGCACTCAGGGTGTCAGTACTTTGTACAGTAAAATCCGTTTTTGCTTAAACTTGTTCCGGAACAAAAAAATCTGATAAACCGTAATTTTTACAGTAAAAATTATCGTAAAATCACTGAATTCCTCAAATTAAATAAATATTTTTTTAAAAATTACGGTATAGTATTTCAGGGAAAAAATAGATTTTACGGACGGGGCGCACAAAGTGCAGAAACTTTATACTGTAATTTGATCTGGAATTTTTTGTAGTGTTATGCGAATTAAGTTACCATGGGATATGATAATGAATTTCGTTAAAAATTTCTAGTGCACTGAATTCGGCAGAACTTTTTAATTGGTTATTTTTTATTTTTTTAAATAAAAATTAAATTATTAAGCCATGCTCTCAGAACAGATATCCGCGTAAGCTGCAATTTTGGTGGTTCCAGCAAGCGTACCTTGAATATTCAATATGCTAATTAATTTGTGTGGACCATTTTTAAAATTACGGAATTAAATACTCCGTTTTTGACGTGCCTATTTCGCTATAACTCTAGATCTATTTAAGCGAATTAAAAAATTTTTGCTCACAATTATAAAAGTTGATAATTCACTAAAATTTCATGCGGAATATGTTTTTCACGTGCGTTAGTACTTTTTCGTAATTTAATTTATAAATAGTCCAAAATATTTTGAATTGTAAGGTATACTAATTTTGATATCCTTTAAAAACTAGGAAATTGCGAATGCCAATATACAATATTTTTACGTAATCGGTCAGTAAATTCTTGATAGATGAAAATATTAAAAAAAAATTATAACATAAAAAAATTCTTTTTTCGAAAATTTTAATCTTTTTTATAACTTAAAAAATATTTGTTTCAGAATATTTGATACAACTTTTATAAAGTTTAATTATTCAGAAATTAATTGACCAAGTTTGTTTAATTTTTTTAACTTTGGTATTCTAAATTTCAAAGCGATTTAAAATTATAATAAAGGGGTCTCCTATTTTTAACCGTTTTTCTGCCTTAACCAAATTTTCTTTTGCGTTGAGAGTTAAGAATCTGAATACGCTGAAAAATATTGTGTTTATTCAGAGAAATTACGTCTTTTGATTGAATTTCCAAACTTAAAATACTGTCTGCATAAATTAATTAGCATATAAGGTTATGGTATTAATATACTATCAATAGGATAGAAAAGATTTGATCCATTAGACGACTAAAAACACTAACATTTTAAATCCATTACACTTATTTTTATTGTAAAATTAATTTTTTAACAAATAAATATTTTGCTCAAGCAAATTATTTTATGAAAAATCGCATAATTAAACAAATTAAATAAAGAAGTTTTTGGACATTTAAATAAGTTTTCTTTACATTAAAAAAGTACTCTATTAGAAATAATAATTTTTTTTATCACAGTGTTGTTTCCTTTTAAATTTACATGAAAATTTATATTTTTATATTTTCAACATTTCTTAAAAATTTGTTCTTTCTTAGCCCCCTCTAGTGATTTCCTTCCTCTTTTAAAGGGTATCCAATCCAAGATTTTAATCCTGGTATCATCACACCTTTTCACCCATCTGACTGTAGTTGTTTATTAGTTTTGAACATCGGTTAATAGAAAGATAACTTTTTTCCCATGCTTAGTTTACTATTTTTCAAAATATCAAATCGTATTTCCGAGAACGAAAGTCTATACAAGTATCAGAAGCTCGGAAGTTATTGATGAAAGATAGATTATACGTTGTTTAATTTTCTTTTGAAAGAAAAGATTAAGAAGTGACTAAGTTTGAAGTGTCAGCATGATAATTGTTTATTCTTATTCCTGTTCTCTATCAATTAAACTTGCCAAATTTTTTTCATCGTCTGCTTTGTTTTTATGTACAATTTTCATCAGCGGCGATGATGGCCTTTATTTGAATGAAAGACTATCATATCCGTCTGATATGATGCGTCAGATAAGAGTTTGACTTGATATTTCTCGCAAAAGCGGTGATTTCTTATCCTTAAATAAAATTTATTTCAAAACTACTTAAAAAGTGATAATATAATATTTTTCTCTTTTTGTTTTAGTTTCAATGATAACACTGATAAGATAACCGAGTTTAATAAATAAACCAGTCTCTCAGAGCTTCCGATTTAAACGTTTCATTTCCTCATACGAATTTAGATCCTTCCTTCTATTTTTCTTCTTTGAAATGAATTTTTTTCACTAAAATACAACAAGAAATGAAGAGTTCTAATTCTTCTTTACCAAAACTACTTTTGAATGAGAGAGAAACATTATTATTTTTATTTACTTTTCTCTTCTATACCCAAAATAGCGAGTATTTTTAATTTTATTTTTTTATTAAATTTAATTAATTCTTCATTCTCTTTTTTTTCGATTAATTTATTTTCTCAAAGAGTAACTAACCCCGTTTTTAATTTGAACAATTTTTCTACTTTGTTTTATAAATAACTAGTTGCATTCAATGCAATTAGTTTATGCTGGTCTTAGTAATAGTTTTTTTTTTATTTCCAATGAGCTGCACAATCGGTTTTGCCGATGCGTTCTCCAGAGGTGGGTCCACTCTTTCAGGACCACCACAATAGGTGAGATACCGTTGGCCATGTTAATTTGGACGTCTAGTTTCTGCCACAGTAGATGGCAGCACCGAGACGGTATTTGGATGCTAAAGTGCACTAGTAATTTAATTTTGCCTAATTTTTTTTAATTTCCAATGAGCTGCACAATCGGTCTTGCCGATGCGTTCTCCAGATTTGGGTCCACTCTTTCAGGACCACCACAATGGGTGAGATACCGTTGGTCATGTTAATTTCGACGTCTAGTTTCTGCCACACTAGATGGCAGCACCGAGACTCTATTTGGATGCTAAAGTGCACTAGGAATTTAATTTTGCCGGAAATGCTAAGAGCCAATAAAACACTCCAGGGATCTTTTACATGCCGCATAATCATACGACATGACCGCTGAGGATTTTCTGAAAATCCGGTGCCTGGGCCGGGGATCGAACCCGCAGGCTTGGGCTCAGAAGGCTGACGACAAACCAACTAGATAATAGATCTTAGTAAAAGTTTAGCACAAAGTTATTATTTAGCACAAAGTACGAGTATAAGACACAAATTAAAATTAAAAAAGCCGGCAACCATTTTAGTACTATATACCTTCAATAGTGCCGAATCATTCATTGTATGTCTGTGTACTAATGATTAGTAGGTACTATATACCTTCATCAGTACCGAATCATTCATTGTATCTCTGTGTACTAATGATTAGTAGGTACTATATACCTTCATCAGTGCCGAATCATTCATTGTATGTCTGTGTACTAATGATGGTTACAGAATATAACCCTGAACAACTTTTGTACGCCCGATCGGATTTTCACGAAATGAGTGCCCTTCTTAATGGTCCAAAGGGGGTGACCTAAAGCATTAATAAATTTTCGTAACTATTAACTAAGTTACGAAATCAGATACAAAAACGACTTTCTTTGAAAGAAGACGACTTTTTTCGGCGGCTATTAAAATTTTAGACAGTCAAAACATGGCTGGTAACCGCAGTCTGAAATCTTGACAATGGTCGATGGTTGGTTTACTAAAAGGTTAATTCTGCTTTTTAAGTATTTCACTATATTTCGGGAACTCACTATATAAGAGAATCCAAAAATTTTTGCACAAAATTATGAAAATGCAATTTCAACATCAAATGAATGCAAATACAACATCAAAATGCAATTTCATGTAAGAACAATTTCTAATAATTATTAACTCTTTTTATTATTTTAAAAAATAATTTTAATTATTAATTATTTTTAAAAATAATTATTCAATAATTATAATTTATAATTAATTAATTTTTGAATAATTAAGTATATGAATTTTTATATCATTTCAAACTATGTGGTTAGAAATGGCAAAAACCGAATTTAAAACGAAATAGGTCGAATGATTCTGGAGGTATAACACTTCAAAAAAACCTTATTTTTGAATTTTCATTTCTCCAAAATTGTTCTACTGATTTCTTTTAAATTTCAGATTTTTGACATTTCAATTTATCTAGTTCAAAATAGTGTAAAAATTTGCAATCTTCACAATTCAAAACTTTTTTGATTCGCTCAAAAAATTCTTTAGAGATATGGCGAAATAGGTAAAATTGATATAGGCAAGTTTGATATTCTAAATTTATCGAAGAAAAAATATGTTTATTCAGAGAAAAAACGTTTTTGAAAGATTCCCTATTTTAATTAGTTATTAGCACTAATTATTTAGCATGCTTGATGTTGCCCTTTATAACCCTTAAGATTGGATTTTGTAATAGCATGACAAACCAATCGATAAAACTAAAATTTTTAGAGTGATATCTTTCTTTTTTTAGGCCTCTGAACTTATTTGAAATACAAAATTGGCTATCTAACTTTTTACCTTTTCATATTTGTAACAGATTCAGAACTTTCTGCACAATTAATATATATTTCTGGAATCCTTGTGAACACAAAAATCGAAGCACGAGGAAGAAAATATTATCAAACCTTGACGAATTGTGAACGAGGAAAGCTGGATTTAAGAAATTTATAACCTCTTTGATTTTTGAGTGAAATTGAGGCACGGTGAAAGTAGTTTTCAGAAACATCTTCAAATTGCGTCCTGCAGTCAAACTGATTCTGAAATTTTTAAACTCCTCTTCCTTAATAGTGATTCGTCAGATTTGTGTATGATTTTTCATCTTTACTTAAATATTAATTAGAGCCTCCTGATGTTCATACTCTTTTTACTTTATTTTTCATAATGATTCTAAAAATATATATTAAGGGTGGTAATTGCAAACTACCCAGCATGCTATAACTTCATTGTTTTTTTCAACAAAGAGAAAACCCTCAAGTTAGCATTAAATGATATTTTAATGGTTCTCTCTTAGCGCCAAAAAATTGCAAGGTACGATGGCGCTAGACATTGAAGAAGAATTCAACTCAAGACTAGAAACAATCAAGTGTGTTGTGGTAGGAGATACAGCTGTTGGAAAAACACGTTTGATCTGTGCAAGAACTTGCAATGCAGTACTCAATCTTCCTCAAATGCTTACTACTCATGTACCTACAGTTTGGGCCATAGATCAGTATAGAATTCATAAAGAGGTAATACATGAAGAGGTAATTCATAATAAATAATTTCAGCGCTTCTTAAAGATTTGTACATATCATTCGAACTATAGTAAGGTACAGTTTTAAAACAAATCAATAAAACTATGATATTCCTATGGATATGTAACCCTATATAGCTATGCACAGGTGGCGTTTTCAATTAACATTTGTATTACTTTCTTAATTTTAGCTTAAAAAATTGATCATTTTCTTGTTAATGTACATTGTTACAATATGACTTGTTCTATTTATTTCCATTTATAAATTCATTTAACTTAGGCTAAAAACTCAAAAAACTGACGATAATATTCAAAACATGGAAACCTTTAGACTTTATGTTGTAATATTAATTTCTGACCAATTCTGAATTTGCGACTAGCAATGTTCAATTCCGCAGAATCGTTATTTTGAACCCAACCCACGGCAAGGGAATTCCTGGATCAAGCATTGGGACAAATAAGCCTTCGTAGAGGACTTTTTTGATTTAAATAACCCACATTTGCGTTACATGGAGAAGAATTTAAACAAACAAACACGAAAACCATCCACGATTAGCCCGATGGCAAGGGGATTCTAATCTATGATCTATCTATTCCTGAGGATATTTTGCGTCGAATGCGTAACAATCGGTTCGAATTCGAAACAAACAGCCACCGATGGAATTCTGAACCACCTCATTGGATGGCGATCGCTCTATCCCCTGAGCCACCGGGACTCTTCTCTTAGAGTTGGTGAAATTCAAAAAAATCATTTAAGTGATAAAAGTACGTGCAAATTTCAATACAATCTCATATCTTGAATATAAAGATTCATTATCGCCTCACAAGCGGATGGATACTCCGGAAGTGACGATTTTGGAATCTTGTTATTGTTTGCATTCAGTATACCATCCATAGGTACAGCTTTGAATAAAACAATGCAACTTTCATAATCTGAAAGTAATGATTGAAGACACGTTTCTGACATTTATCGCAGTGGATCGTTTTATGGAACATTTTCATTGACTTACGTATATTTCTAACATGTTTATGCAAACTTTGAATGACATTGCCTGGAATGGATATTTTCCACACTCTCGGGCTCGAAAATTTTACTCTTCATTCTTTTGATCACGGGAAGCCTTTGAAGCTCTTTTGGCCAAAAGTAAATAAATAAAGGGAATTTTAGTACCTTAAATTCGAAGCTAAAATTAACTCGAAGATGCGAACTTAAACTAACTATATCATCTTGTTGTGAAGAATTATTTGAACTTTAAAACGGATAAATAGCTTAAATATATAAAGAATTTCCACTTCATTTTTTTTAAAGATTGCTAATTCGACGAGTTTTATTCATAGTTACGTATAAAATAAATAAGACTTCATAAGTTCTAGATGAGTAGGATTTTAACTGAACTATGTCATGCATATAAGACGTGATTTGCGTTTTAACTTGACCAACATTAAGGCAACAATAAACGGGAAAAACTAAGAAGGAAGCTATTAATAGTTCTAAAGGTAACCTCTAATTGGAACATAAAATAATTAATGTTTAAGGAAATTGTAACACTTCGAAAATAGAAAACTTAGTTTAAAAAGAAGGGAAAAAAGAATTTGTCCTAAACTAAGGCTAATATTTGCCATATTTTAATGAATATTTTGAGCTACTATTTCCAAAATTCAAAAGCAATTTTCCTGAAACAACAAATGGGTTTTCTTGCTGCAACAAATAGGTTTTCCCCATGCTGTTTATAGAAAAAAGCAGAAAAATTTTCTTTTCCTTTTTAAACATTTAAAAACTAATAACCGGTATAAAACATTTAATATTGATACTTAGCAAACTTCAGTATATAAATCAACCTACAGTATACTACCAAATAGTATGTAAATCCTTAACTGGTTTGTTGCTTCTAGGGGCGCAGATGTTATAGCGGTACTAAGCAATAAAACAAATTCAACTTTTTTTTTACCACTTCAGTTTTCCAAACTTCACACTTAGCTGTGTCACACATTCTTATTACGTTATTTTTGAATAATAAGCATTTCTTAGAAAATAACACTGAATTTTCGGAAATAATTTAATAAATATATATTTTTGGCATCGCATAATTTGCTCAATAAATAAATCACGCCATTGTCAGAAAATGTCGATTTCTTTGCAGATTTCGTCACGTCTTTCATTATAGCTCGTGTAAATTAAGAATAAAAATGTTGTTTGTATATTGATGTTTAAATATGTATTGAACAGTTTTTCGTATACAACTTCCTTTTTCTCCCTTTTAAAACATATTTGTGCATTCCAAACCTAAATTATGCCCATTTTCAATCTTAAAATGTGGAGCAATATGACGATAAGCCACACTTTTTAAAAAGTCACCATTTTCACATCCAGCTGTTCCTTAGTATTTCTTCAAGATATGTATTTTGGAATTCTCACTTCTTTACAACAACATTACACAGAAACATCTCCTTACCTTATGGAAATCAGGGTGCTTTTTAAAGCCAAACATGCTTTTATCAATAATACGGCGTACCATTATATTGTCCTAAGTCAGCGGGATCGAACATATAACCCGCAAATCAGATATTGACCCACGAAAAACCACAGTGCTGACGTAAAATATCCTCAGTAGTAGACGGATCATTGGTTAGAGTCCCCTTGCAATCAGGCTAACCATAGGAGGTTTTCGTGATTTTCCTCTTCATGTAACGCAAATGCTGGTAAGTCCTCCACGAAGGCAAATTTCTCCCAATACTTGATCCAGGAGTTTCATTGTCTGTCTTGTGTTGTTTCTGGATTGGGTTCAAAATTACATGGCTGCGGAGTTGAGCATTAGTAGTCGTAAACCCAAAATTTATTCGGCTGTTCAACGACTGTTATGAAATGTAATCATTAAAAAAAGCGAACAGACAATTCAAAATATTAAAAAATTAAAATATAAGTATTTAATTCAAATTTCTATATGAAAATTGGACAGCTGATTTTCTGTCAAGTATACAAGCAAGCACCTGTGCATGAATTTATGACAATTGGTCATAAACTTAGAAGAAGTGCTCATTTTCGATAGTCATATTATTTAGTCAAAACATGATGTGACTTGACCAACTACTCGATAATCATANTCTGTCAAGTATACAAGCAAGCACCTGTGCATGAATTTATGACAATTGGTCATAAACTTAGAAGTAGCGCTCATTTTCGATAATCATATTATTTAGTCAAAACATGATGTGACTTGATCAACTACTCGATAATCATAAATATAAAGGAAAGGACAAATTTGATTGTACCTATCAAATTTCGCATATTTAATTTATATGTAGTACATATATAATTGTAAATAAATTATTTCAAATTTAATAGTTTGAGAAAAGTTAAAGAAACGAAGTAATCCTTTTTAAAGAAGTTCAAAAGTGAAAACAAAGAAAGAAACGATCAACTACCTAGTTTTCTGTTAATAAATTTCCGATGTTTCCTAATTATGTTGTTGTTCATTTACGTCGCACTAGGGTTGTTCATTTACGTGCACAATGGGCTATTGGCGACTGTCTGGGAAACATCCCTGAGGATGATCCGAAGACATGCCATCACAATTTTGATCCCCTGCAGAGGGGATGGCACCTCCGCTTCGGTAGCCCGACGACCTGCACGCGAAGTCGAGAACTTTACGGTAGAACAGTTTAACGAGGATCGATACCGCACATTCTCGGTCCCTACGCACACTAATCCAAGTGGTCACCCACCCGCACACTGACCGCAGCCAGTGATGCTTGACTTCGGTGATCAGGCTGGGAACCGAGTCCTATTGATCAGACCACTGCGGGACTTCCTAATTATGAGTACACTTTTAACAACTCTCCTTTGCTAATGGAACCCCTGAGTTTGTAACCCATGGTCGACTATTTAAGGCTGTTTTTCGAAGGCTCAGTCGTAATTTGTTGTTGTTGTTAATTTACGTCGCACTAGAGCTGCACAATGGGCTATTTGCGACTGTCTGGGAAACATCCCTGAGGATGATCCGAAGACATGCCATCACAATTTTTATCCCCAGAGGGGATGGCACCTCCGCTTCGGTAGCCCGATGACCTGCGCGCGAAGTCGAGCACTTTACGGTAGCACAGTTTAACGAGGACACCCTCGGTCCCTACGCAGACTGATACAAGTGGTCCCCGTCGTAATTTGAAATGATGCTTTTTACGAATAATATGCTATTTTTACAGCTGCTTTGAGTTTGTAGCAGTTACTCATGATAGCCAGCGCTGTCTACGGTTATTTTTAAAATGGCGCAAACATCAATATGGAGAAACGCCACAGTTTTGCGAAAATGAAAAGCGTTTGTGGTCTGATTTTTTAATATTTAAAAGCTTACTCCAATGCAGCATTACCTGGGCTCATAAAAATTTGAAAAAACTGAGAATAGGGCAGTGTTTTTGATAATTTTCATCTAAGTGAAAAATGTGCCAAATTAGCGATTTTCAAAAATGTGTAATAACTTTTAAAATATTTAAGTTATTCGCCCGTTCTAAAGCCCAGACAATTCCTCACAGCAAGATTATATATATAGTTCGAAATCATCGCATTGCTTCAAGTGTACTTATACTATGGCTATTTTATTTTGTTTGGCGACTGAGCTTCGAAAAACAGTGTTAAAATTATAATCAACAGAACTTGACCCCCTTCGACATAGCAGCCTAAGGCCTTCATGTTTTCTTTAATCGCATCAGCAACACAGTAAATATTAAAATTAGAAAATACGATTATTATTATTTAATACAATGTTTTCCAAGCATTTTCCTAATTTACCTAAATATACACGCAACGCTTCAGCTTCGCTGGTTGAGTGTTTTATCTACTTTTGAGTCTCTGGAAAGTTTATTTGCGTTAACACAGAATGTTTTTAGGTTCTTAAAAGATCTTGGATGAGTGTGGACGGAGTCAATGTTTCACTGCGTTTATGGGACACATTTGGAGATCATGAAAAAGACCGGAAATTTGCTTATGGAAGGTAACTAAAATTATTTCTTAAAGATGTTTTTTCGAAACTCTGGCACCTAGCAAAAACAAAACATAGCAAATGCCTTCAGTTCGAAGCAAAGCTATATTCTGTCCTAAGTTATCTGGGCTTTAGAATGGCAAAACGTTTCCTATACTGTACATCACGTGCTGTTTCCTATACTGTATGTCTTAAATAATTGTCAATATTCAAATTTGGGAATATAAAGGAATATACTTAAAGGAATATATTTGGGAATATACTTACGAGAATTTCTGAATTAATATTTTAACCTTTTAGATATCCAAAATATCTTCCAATTCCTGACATACAATTGGGGAGACGAAAACCTAAAAATTTAAAAAAAAAAATGCTGAAAGAATAGAGGCTACAGCTAGCAGACACGCCGGAATCAGAGTAACTTTTGCTTCGCCACAGTTAATCAAAAATGTCTATATCAGAAAATCAATGAAACCAATTAAATGGTTTAAATGCCAACGCAATTAGATTAAATATTACTGAGAAAACTAAGTTGACTTTAACAAGGAAGTTTACATTTCTATGGGAAAACTAATTTGATAAAGTTAAGCTGTAGAAATTTGAAGTAAGTGTGATGCGGCAATATCACATTTTATGGGTCCATATAATGCAGGAGTAACTTTTCAAATATTAAAATACCAGATCACAAGATCACAAACGCTTTTCATTTCAAAAAAAATAAATAATAATAATAATATTTTTCTTATTGACAAGTTGTATTATTTTCATTGCTAGCATAGAGAAGGCTGGCTTAAGATCAGCAAAACTAAATCTATCTGTCATAAATAACTGCTACAAACTCACAACAGTTATAAAAACAGTATGTTATCCTCTAACGAGTATAACGAGAGACCATTCAAGAAACAGCTTTAAGAGCAGTGATTACGTTACACAATATGCCTTCATTGAATTTTTAAAAAAATTCTGTTTGAAATTTAGGGCTGATATTGTTCTGCTATGCTTTTCCATATCCAGTCCCCAATCTTTCAAGCATTGTAAAACAAAATGGTTTCCAGAGATTCGCCAATACTGTCCTCAAGTGCCAATTGTAGTGGTGGGATGCAAGAGTGATCTGAGACACATGTACAAAGATGATGGATTTGTTACACTTTGCCATGAGAAAAATCATCAGTTTGCGAAGTAAGAATTTAAAATGTATCTGTATATATATGTATGTTAACCCAAGACTGAATTCTTAGACAAAATTTTAAACACCATTTTTTTATTTATTTTTAATTTTCATTCAATATAGTTTCTAAGGATGCATATCTACATTTTATACATTTGGTGCGTGGCCAAGGCCGGATTAACCATTAAGCATACTAAGCACGTGCGTAGGGCAGAGGTAAAGGGGGCACCACGAAGCAAACATGAAAAAAATATCTTTCTACTAAGAATATTTTTTTACACATTTTAATTCGATTTTTAAGTTCTTACATGGTTTTAACTAATTTGATATTGTGTTATAATTATTTCAATCACGCGGACACGAAAAAGAAAGTTCTGTATTTACAGTATCCCATCACCAAATGACCAATGTTTTTTTCCTAACAGACCTCCTATATAGTCAGTGAATCACCTGAAATACAAAACTACGGCAAGTGACGCATTTTCCATTGTATTTTTCTCCCTGAATAGAATGAAATCAATGTCGAAACTATCATACTAATAGTTTAGAAGTTATAAGCGTTTTAAGTATAAAATTGTACTATAAGTATTTACGAATCTCACCTAAACACATTGCCTTATTATTGCCTAGTCGGCATGGGCCTAGGTCCCAAAATTTCTAAGGGGTCACGAAAATTAGTAAAATGTAATCAACATTACTATTTCTTTTAAATACTATAAGAAACATTTTTTCTAAAAAAAAGAAAAAAAAAATAGATTTTCTTTATTTTAAATTTTTTTTATATCGTGATATGACGAAACTCACGTAAAAATTGCGCAAATCAGATTCGAAAGTAAGATGGGCTAGCTTTGTGTTCGTTTAACTAATGAATAATTGCAGCTTAGTGACGCAGCAAAAGTTCTTGTTAGTGGCCACAAAATGTTTTATAGTAATTTTATTTAAAATTGTATGTAATAAGTTGAATCAGATATTACTATAGAATAGGATTTTGAAATTCTCGAAATTGCTGAAAAAAATGTTTTTTTTTTAAAAAAAAGTTTTTTTTTAAAGAAATTCATTGTATTGAAAACTTTTAAATGTATGAATATTTTGAGTAACTTTTTCATGAAATATGAATTTTAATTTTTTAAAATGTGTTACATCTGAATAAACTATTATTTAAATGAGTTTTTAATTATCTATGAGCATTATCTATATTTTGGCTCTTTTGGATATTTTTTACGTGTTGAAAAGTATTTAATAAAAATTATAATTAACAGCCTTAATATCTTAGAATACGTGCTGAACTTGTATTTATATCTAATGAAAGGTGAGCTAGCTTTGTGTTGGTTTAAATACTAAATAAAAAATAAATACAGCTTACAATAAAAATAATTCAGCGAATCAGTGACTTTTAGCAAAAATCCCTAAAATCAATTGCTTGTGGTCACCAAACTATTTTTATTTTGACATAACATATTTTGTATTAATACATAGATGCGTTAACTTTCTCTTGAAAAAAAATCTTCAATTGTCTGCTTTTAAAATTTTTTAGAATGTTTCTCTTGAATCATGGACTTTAATAGATTCTTTTTTAATTGCTTGGACTACTCTTCAGCAATTTAATTTCAAACATTCTGTAAAGAGCCCAAAAAATCTGGAGGGCCTGAATTTGCCTTGATCGGTCCCTGCCTAAACAAGTGAAGCAATTTTTCTGTACAATTTCTTATGATGGATTGAATGAGACACGTCAATGGACAAAACACTGTCTCACCTTTATTTAACGAAGCCGCTAAATCCGATAACAAGTTCGTTGTATGGAAAATTCGTTAAATAGAAAATAAACTTTTAAAATACTTAAACACAAAACAGGTTTTAATTTCATCAACACTAGACATAATTAAAATAGTGATTGATACACCTCTATCTTGTAAACTAGTGTATATATTTGTTTTATAAATCTTAAACATAAAAGAAATCTGCATGGAAAGCAAGAATAGAGCAAAACATTATACAGTGTTACACTATCAAGATACATACATTTTCGACTTAAAAAAAGCTAAATTTATGTGTAAAATTATAGCTGCATTTAATTTAAAATTAATTTTAAACATACAATACCACATGCGTTCTTAAATTTAATTGCTACTCATGAATCCGCTAATTTTGTCTGAGTTTTTCTTTCGAAATGCAAACAAAAAGGGAAAAGGATTATAGTGCGTTCTCTAAAAGTTAAGTGGATTTGAATTATTAATATCCTCCATAAAATGCGTTAACAAGTTTGAAATGTTCAGAAATATTTTGGGAAATAGGGAAAGTGGATCTCAAAGAAAAGTTCGTTAAATAAGAAATTCACTTCACTATTTAGAAGTTATTTTACGTAAAAACTTCCAATGTTCCTTGAGAAAAAATTTGCAAAATGGAAGAATGGGAAAAAAAATCGGAAAATGAAATAGAAGTGCGACTGTAGTTCAAAAAGTACAGGAGTTTTATGTATTCAAGTACTACTTCCGACGCATACTGATACTTTATATTGTTGTCAAGGAACTACCTTTATCGGGCAAAATATATTTTCCGACGAGTCTTAGTCTCGTGATAGATCTCTTTAAGTTCAGCGAATACCACCGGACAAATAAACCTGTAAATGAAAGAGTTTTTGACTAACAAGTACCCAAATTTACTCTAATTCTTTACGTTCTGAAATTTTAAAGTTCCAGAATGTTACCCAAATGATTCCCAATAATATAGTTTATAATCCGATATCAAATTTTAATTTTTCTTCAGTTAGTAATTCATGTAACTTTGTTTAACTATGAATTAACACACTTTCTTTCAAATGAATAAATTTTCTTTGATTATTTCTTAAATCAGAAATTTTATCTCACTTACGCTTTAAATAT